ACTTTCCAGAAGAATGTACGATTAGGGTTTCGTGAGAAGAAGACGACGCTCTCTGGTAAAATTGGGAAGCGATGAATTTGTTTTTTTTTTGGTTTTAATTTGAGAGGAGGCATTTTTTTTTTTTTTTAAACCGTCGTTGGGGTTGGACGAGACGGCGAAGTTACTGACGTGGACTCAGAGACGATGTTTCATCAGTGCGTTGACACGTGTTCTCATCATTGCGGATCATCTTATTTGTTGTATGTGTTTATGGATTTAAATTGTTGGGTCAAAACTTAAGAGAAAGCCCAAATCTAAAATAGTGTGCCAGAAGATATCATATTTTTTATTGAGTGAATTTGTGTAGAAGTAAAAATGGGGTATAAAATTAGGAAATAGACAATTCACAATAGGGAGGTTTGTCTCTGACGATGTCCAAAAAACGATTGAAAAGGGGTTTAGTTTTGTCAGTTATTACAAAAAAACCAATGCATATTTTGTTAATGTGCGTGGGGAGAGGAAGAAAGAGTTGACATTTAATAAATGCTCAACAGTTGAATTGACCATTACGCGACAACAGACAGAAAGAAATGACGATTATTAAATGCGATCGACTTTAGTTTGAATATATAACAAAAACGTATGTGCGAAAATTACAAATTTTAAATCACTAACTTAATTGCGTAGATATCTATTAATAAATTTGATTATATGTAGATCGATATATAATTCTATGAAAGTGTATAGACATGTAACTAAATTTATAGATAACTATTAATTCCTTAACTAATTGAGACATGTTTAACATATCGTCCATCTACGCTCTTTAGATCTGCATCTACGCTTTGTAGATCTATATGTGGAGGTCCAAAAATTATGGTAAATCCTTATTTGTATCGTGAAAATTATCTCTTTCGGCAAATAAATGTACCATCTAATTCTCTGGTAAGACAATGTGAATAGTAAACGCGGGGATGTTTTTCTGCTTGATTTGAATGAATTCGAACACAATTGAGAGAGAAAAAGAAAGAGATATGAACATGAGAGAAAAATAGAGATCCAAAAATTAAAATTAAAAAATGAAAAATAAAACGTGAGGCGCATGAGGTTAAAATGGGTAGAAATGGGGGCTAAAATTATCATTGTTCTTGGGATTAGATTCATAATACCGAAAATTTTATTTGATCCAGATCCAGTGTCTCTCACCCAATTATATCTTTTTATATTAATTATCAAATTAAATTATTTTATTTTTAATTTAAACTACATAAATACTTTGACCCAAAAAAAACTCTAATTTGATACTTTATCTTATTTAAAATATCAAATTTATCTTATTATTAATTAAAAATTTTGTATATAGCTAGAACGACTCTCACAAATTGCTTTCAGATTAAAGAATATTTTTGTAGTTGCTCTGGAACAATTAGGAGATTGTCTAGAAGAAATACGGGGTTCTGGCGGCAGCATGATATGAGATGGTGAGTGTGTGAGTTGTTCATTTTAAGAATTATATCGAAATCTTGAGTAATAAAAAAAGTGGGATGCTGTATTTCAAAAACTAAATCACAAGCTTCTGATAAAAAACGAGCAGCAGTTATCCGCTCCGCACTTGACTATCCAGCGTTTGACATTCTAGAAAAAAAATATAAAAAGCATTTCAATTTGAAATTGAAATGCTTTTTATATTTTTTTTCAATTTGAAATTGAAATGGATTTTTTTTTTTTTTGTGGACCGAAAAGAAAGGAGGCTCAGCGGAAAAAGGATTGTACCATAGAAGCAAGGAGGTAAACCTCATAAGTACAAAATTTTATAATAATATAAACAAATATTTACAATATGTTTGTGATATAATTTTGATCTCTACACATCAAGATATTATCATTTTGGTTTTCTACAAGTTTCACCTTCCTTACTCAATTATCTTTTTTTTTATATACTCATGTACTAAAAAAACCGGCATAGCCACGACAATTATCTTGGCTGTAACCTAGAATCCGTGGCTATAAGCCTTCCTACCCACGAATTACCACGGACGAAATCCGTGGATATAGCGTCCTGACTGTGAATTTTCCGTGGTTTTCCGTGACAAAGTTAGCTACGAATTACCACGAAAGTATTTGTGACTATTTAACCACGAAAATGTCACAACATATCTTGTGGATAAATAGTCACAAACACGTCGTGGCTTTTCCATGGTTATTTTGGCCACAAAACTGTTCATGGCTTTCCGTGGTTGTATTAGCCACAAATATGTCGTGGCTTTCGTAGTTGATTTAGCCACAAATATGTCGTGGCTATTCCGTAGCTAGTTAGTAAACTAACCACGAACATTGTCGTGGCTTTTCCGTGGTACTTGTTAAACAAAGAACTGATTTCTTTGTGGTTATCCGTGGGTTATTTTGTTAAGCTCAATTTAAAAATAAAAATCACGTTAAGCTCAATTTGGAAATAAACAACAACAAATTAAAACTTTAATCCAATATAAATATGATCTAAATATTTTTGGTTTACAAAAAGACGTAAGTCATGTTCTTAGTCTAACGACATAATAAAATACTAAATGAAATACACAACAGTCATGTTCTTAATACACAACTCACCAAAAAATAGAGATGTAGCACAAAAGGATAAGTCTTGTGTTGTCATGGACATGAGTAACATAATCATATCAGTCTTCGTTATTGTCATGAGGTTTTAGAGGAGACGGAGAAGGGACTGAGTGACTAACCGTGACAGGAGTTGTGGTGGGTCTGATCGGTTGTTGAGTTAGGGGATCAATACCTAAACTCCTTAGAATCACATTTTGAGAAGCTTGCATCGCCGTTGTGCAATCGCCGACCTTATGCAAGTCATCCTTGAGCATCATCACATCATTCTTGAGCATCGCCATATCATCCTTAACTGCTGCAAGAGTAGTCTCCAAGCTTGATAGCCGCATTTCTGTGTCAAGATTTCGGGCAAGAGAAGCATAGAAAGTCTCGTTAGGGCCGACATCCTTATCTTGAGCGCTGACCATGCCGTATATACGTCATTTTTTTGGTTTATTTATTTGGACAATGATAAGGTTTTATAGTCTTTGAAAAAAACGTGATTTGAACTATTGAGCTGCAAACAAACTGAAACTCTAGAAGTTGAAGCCAATTAAAATTACTTGGTTGATGAGATGAGTGTGAGAAGGATTAGCAGTCTAGCTGGTGGCATTAGGAGAGCCGTCAGAAGCTGGAAGTTGCGATACAGTTAGCTCAACTTCTTCTACAATGGACTTCGCACGATAGTCGACGTATGTTCCATCTTTGTGCATGTGTGTCGCATGTAGAAGGTTTGTGAATGGTATTGGTTCATCTTTCCCAGACTTAACCACCTACAAACAAGAAATTGCAACCATTTACCGCAAAGAATATTCTGATTAAATAAAACAATCAGTTCACCAAAACATGCAGTTTCTGGATACCAAATAACATAAACGTTATAATCCAAACAACAAAATTTGATTATGAATACACGAAACGGATGGAACTTTCATACTAAATCAAACAGTAAGTAAAAAGCTATGAGACCTTACCATATCGTACTCGATTTTGGCAAATGCTACGGGACCGGCACAATGCTTATGTATCCCTTTGTCATCAGGATTAGATAGGCGGTTTTCAGAGTTGGTCTTGGACTTTTCAAGCATTTCTTCTGTACCCCAATTCGCCATCAACTAGTCGTCTAGTCCCAATTTTCTTGGCCAATGTACACAGTTTTTTTATTATCTCTCTCTTTTGTGCTGATCCGATCACGTCCGAATCTATAACCTCAATCTCCCATTTTTGATATACTAGATTGTGGTGCACCTGATCCCAATAGTAATTTTGCTACAACAGTAACGAATATGTTAGTTAGATAATGTATACAAAGAAAATTCAATTAGTCAAAGGCAAAATAGTAATCAAAACAAAAACAAACCACAAAATCCTACCACCATTAATCCTTTTTTTTCTGGAGGAACTGTGGTTGTGGATGTAGGATTCACACTCGATTGTCTTTAAGTATTTTTGAAGAGAAAAACTCTAAAATCAAAGGATGAAAATAAGAATTTGAACAGGAAAGTAACCAAGAAACTAAATAAAGCGAAAGAATTTGATAAGAACAAAATAGTAAAGAGCTTTGCGAAATTGCAAAAGAGAAAGTATGTTGTATTGCTTGATTGTAATGGGTAAAAAGATTGTCCCTTCCCCAAACACATGCGTTTGAGGTTGTTTTTATAGAGAAAACATGATCAATGCGGTCATTTACTGCTCATAATCGCATTGACCCGCATTAATCATGTAGGTTACAATTTGACCGAAACGGCTTGAATTTGAACTATCTTGGGCTTCGCATGGATCTTCCGAAATCTTTCTTGTTGACTCCGAACTCCCGCGTCTTGACGCTGCCGCGAACCTCGAACAATATTCTCCTCGCTTCGGCCTTTCTCTGTGCGAGCTGTATGCTGAATAAGAGCGAACTCTGTACTGGTAAAGATCGAGCTCTTTAATAAACTGAATCGAACTTCCGGCTGGTCGAGCTTGATTCTCCTAATGAAATACCTAGAAATCCAAGAGGATTATTATGTAATAATGACGTGGACAGATCCAAATGGATCCTACCGAAAGTGTGTGGGATCCGACCCCAACATTTAGCCCCCCAAGTCTTGCGAGCTGAGTGCTCGGCTTGGAAGACTTAAGTAGATAGTAATTAATGACTCGAGATCTTTAACACTCTGGAATTTCTCCACGTTTTACGCTGTTACGCCGATCTCGGATAATCAGATGATTTGATTTCCCTGACAATCGTGATCATTAATTTCCTAATTTTATATTAATACCACGGGAAAAACTGTCTCACTTCCCAATACTTTCGAGGCGGTTTTCCATCATACTCTAGGGTTCTAAGAGGTAGAATTTCTTTTCCATCTTATCTTCTTTACTTAGAGAACTTTCATTCTTATTACAGAAGTCATTGTTTCCTTTCGATAAAAAATCCCTTTTGTAAAATGTCGAACCTTTCTTCCGAATTTTGCGAGTATGAAGTTGATGACCTCGAAACTCTTATGGGTGATGGATCCGAACCTCAAATCCATACCGGAGACAAGTTTGATCTTCACCCTCAGAGCGAATCAACTGTCGATTCTCTCTACGATCTTCGCAGACTATGTCACATCCCTCCTGAGGTTGAGATGATAGTTCCGGAGCCCTTCGAGTCTCCCGAATCGGGGCGAGAAGGTTATTGCTGTGCCTATAAAATTTATTTCAAAGGATGCGGCTTATTCTTTCCTCTCCCCGAGATACTTCTCACATACCTCAACCATCTGGGAATTGCCTTCTCTCAGATGTCGCCCAACATGCTCCGGTATATTTTGTGTACCTTTATTGTTGCGGTGGAGGCTGGTTACTCGCTGAGACTTTGCGAACTCTTGGAGCTTTTCCAGGCTCGCGGGTCCCGAACTTCTGGGCATTATGCCCTTTATCCGATCGCGGATCGGAGTCCTATTGACAACCTGCCCTTAAAGGACAACGCCTGGAGGAAGTTTTGGTTCTTCTTCCGTATAAATAGTTTTACTACTCAAAGTTCTTCTGAACTCCTTCGAGTCAACTGGTCATTGAATTTGGGTAGAAACTAGGACTTAATTGAATAGATTTCTTATGCCATTTCAAAACTGCCTTTCAACATTTCGATGTTTTCTTACAGATCCCCAAATTCGACCGGCCCCATCAATCGATTTTCTCAATTTCTACAAGGCCGTCTTGGAGAGGCCAGTTAATTGGAATTCCTTCACTTTGGAAAGGATTCACGGTGCCGGATTTTCTGTTAGAATGGGCCTAACTAAACCCGTCAACCCTCCTCCTGCTGGGATTGATCTCTCGAGTCTGAATGCTCGAGACAGGAGAAAATTCAAAGAAGCAAACAAGAAAATCAAAGATCAGATTTCTGTAATTGGGAGAGACAAGAAAAACGCAACTTCCACCGGAGACGATAAAGTCTACCGGAAAACTCTCCTGGTTGACGATGGATCTCTTGAAGGTTCAAAGTCAATGGAGGTTGCTGTGAGCAATGCTTCTCCCTCCATCCCAGCAGCAGACAACGTGGTTGCTGCTACCGTTGAGGAGGAAGGCCTTGCAAGTGATTCTTCTCTCATGAAGAAAAGGAAGGCCGAAGAACTCGAACCCCTCCCCCAGGGACGTCCCAAGAGCATAAGGAAGGGCAGATTCGCTCCTTTGAATCTGCCAATTCCTGAGCTTGCTGAAGCTCAGGATGCTAATCCTGATTCAGGAACTGTTTCGAAGGAACCGCTAGGTTCAGGGATGCTACCCCCTAAACGCCCCCGAGGCAATACTTCTAGGGTTCGATCATCTCCGAGCTCGGGACTGGTTGCTAGAGCTTCGTCTCAAGCAGGTAACCTTTAATTATCACTTTATTGTTTGAGATTAATAGATTCTTTTTCCAAAGAAAACTCAATTCTCACACAACTAACTTTATTCTAGACAAAGAGAAGATCGGGAATATGTTTAGGTGCTTCCACACCCGTGCTGGGAAAAAGCTTCCATCCTTTGATTGGTGGAAACCTGATGTTAAGAGGATGTACATTAGTCACTCATTCCATTCCTCCCAGGTTTGACTACTTGCATCCTTGGACAACTGATTTCGATTCATTCATTTTTTTTTTTTAAAACGAATCTTCTTTTATTAGGCAACTCTGAATGTGAATGGCATCGTCAACTTTTACGAAGAGGAACTTGCCAAAGTTTCCAAGAAGGTTGCCGTCGTTGAAGGAGAGATTGAGAAACTGCAATCTTCCAATCGGCTTGTGCAAGAGACTGCTGGCCTTGACTCGGCTCGCCGGGAGGAAATCGAGAAACTCGAAAGATCCGGCGAGGAGACAAGGAAGACCTTGATTGAGACAGAGTAAAGGCTAGAGACTACCCTTGCTGATCACAACTTCGCTAAAGGCGAGATTGAGCTTCTGAGATCGAAGCTTAACAAGGTTAAAGCAGCTACTGAGGAGCTCGAACGTAAGAATGAATCTCTTTCCAAACTGAAAGATCGTGATGTTCGTAAAATATCTCATGATGCTCGAAAGGAGGTTAAAGGAGCTAGGCAAAAGTTTCTTCTCGCTGTGCAAGAATTTATCGCTGCAGACAAAGCTTGGAACAAGCTTAACTCCGAACGCGATGAAATGAAGAGCAACCTTGATTTGATCAAAGAGATAGAGGACAAAAAAATCGATTTGGTTGAAGAGAAAGAGACAGTTTGTGCCGAGCTAGCTGAGACTGAAGCTAAGCTAAATACCGCTCCTCAGCCATATTTGAATTTGCAGCAGTTTGCTTCTGAGTTCACTGACTCCCCTCCGCTGACTGAACCAAATATTGGTTCGTCTCTGGATGAGATGATGTTAACCGGTTCTCCTAGCGCTCATTTTAATGAGTTTGGAACCAATGTTGATAGAATCTCCTTCGGACAAGCTCAGGGGCCCTCTGATAAGGGACTTGTCACCTCCTCAATTATGGGAGATGAAGTTGAATTGAGGAACGAAACTCCTCAAGATGTCAGCTCGCTTAATCCTGAAGTGGTTCTCGCGACTCAAGACGACGATGTCGGGGGTGCTTTTGTCTCAAATCAAGCAAGAGGGGAAGGCGGTTCGCCTATGAATGAATGATGGTGATTGCATTCACCTTATGTGGGGGATTGTCCCCTTAATTTTTAAGACATGAAATTTGCCTTGCTGGCCATGGGGCCGTTTTATTACTTTTTAAGTTTTTCTTTGCCCAAGGGGGCTTTATTATTATTTTGAATAAATTTCCCAAGGGGGTTTAATTAAAATTTCTTTAGGAAGAAATATTTAATTTTGGTGGAAACCATCGATTTTAACTGGAGGGTTTGCAAGGTCCTCCTAACCGAAATGGTTTAAGATTATAGGAGAGATAGGCTGATCAGACCTACTTGCCTTTTTTAAAGGAAAAACATTGGAATTTTTTCTCGGTCTCTCGGTTGCGAGGTTAGAGCTCGGCTTACTAGAACACTTCGCAATACTTCGAATGTGTTCGATTTAAAGAAATTTCCAGTGAGAACCATCCGTTATCTCTAAGAAAAAAAAAAAAGGTGTGATACCATTTATTGATTGACTTCGAAATTAGAGCTCGAAATTGAGTTTTGCCTACTAGGTGTTAAGTGATACTTGATTGACCTATATTTCGTAGGTCTTGTTTGTGCATGCACGCAAAAATCGAAAGACAGTAACTGTCAAATCAATGGACTGACGTTCAACTTTCTTTTCAGTAAATACTCGAGCAAATGTCCTTACATATTTTTTTTTTCTATATAAGGAGAGTCGGGTTTTGGAAATTTTCCAATAAACGTTTTCCTTTATAAGGAACTTTACAGCCCCCTTTTTTTTTAGATCTTTCGATGGCTTCTTCTCAAGGCGAACCTTCTGATTCCAATCCACCACGATTCCCTTCGGTTGAAACTCTGTTTCCACCAGGGGATGGATTTACTCCCCAAGGGGTAGCCATTCCTTGTTTCCTTCCTTCCATGTCTAGGGAGGAAAAGATCGAGTACCATGAATTCATGGAACAGGTTTGACCTCGATACAGGTTGTTTTTAAGGTTTTACCCGATAGATTCGTAATGCATCTGTTTTTTGCAGATCACTGAAAGGTACGTTTCCCTCTGCTCCGAAAGGCAACGCCTTGGAAGGAAACGCCGTGTCCTTGAGGAGAGAATTGCTAGAACTGAGAGGAAAATCCGACGTTTGGAGTCGGACGTTCATAACTGGGAGAGGAAGGGATTCGACTCTATTGCTCGCATTCCCAGCTGTCTTCGAGAACACATCAGGTTCCTGAAGAAGCACTGGGATATCTACCAAAGGAGCCTAGAGCCCGTCGAGCGTGAGAGCGGTTCGTCATCCGACGAAGTCCCTTCTTCGAACCCTCCTCCCTCTTAGTTATTATTTATATATATATTTTTTATTTTGTAATATTCTATCGGGCTAGTTGCCCAACGATATTAATTACATTCCCTATTTTGCTTTAAATTCGCCGATTATTCAAATCTCATTTAATGCGTTTTATCTAGGGAATATAATTAGCAATTAACTCGATTACATTTGCCATGAAAATCGTAATTTTAGATTTGGGAAATCGTCAATTAATCCTCTTAAATGCAATCGAATAATTTTTCGAATATAAAGTGGGTGTAGTTTGTCATTGAATTTCAACAACGATTCTACAAAAATGTTTGAGGAAGGAAATTCTTCAGATTTGTTCAAATTGATGAGCGCTGATCCTTCGAGGACGTCGGACATCGAGCTTATAAAAGCAGGAGAATCTGGCGAGGATCTTCCGGGAGCACCAGACATCGAGCTTATAAAAGCAGAAGAACTGGCGAACCGGAAGGGTCACGAATATTGAGGAAGGGAACAAGCATTCAGGTTCCGATCGTTTTAATCGAGAGATTGTCGCCTCAAGATCGTGTCAAGGCCGAGGAGGTTATCAACAAGGTATTTTCCATCCTAGTGATTTAACTCTTTTTGTTATTTCTAAACGTAGCGTTTTATTTTCTTCAGCTTATCGCTCGGCATGACGAGCTCGAGGATGAGAAAAAGGAGATTAGGAAGAAGAGAAGGGAACTAGGGAAGCGTTGCCTTGACATTGCTCGCGAGCTTCATTGCCTCGAAGCCCATCCTTCCGATTGGATCGAACTAGGACTTCAGGAGTACGAAAACATGCCAGGTTGCATTATGAGCATCGTTGACCTCGCAGGCCAAGGGGCAGAGTTATTCTGTAATTCAAGACCTTTCTAAATCTGAGTTTAGCTAGAAATATTGATTTATACATTGTTTGCAATGTACTCTATATTCAAGCCCAATGATAAAAATAAGATTCCATGATTTGAAATAATATTTTTATTTTGATATTATAGCTGGACTCGTGTTTAGCGAGCTGCCTACGTATCCAAAATAGGATCAAGCCAAATCGTAGTTCGAATGTGTTTGCTTTAGCAATAGAACTTTTTCAAGTTGATTATGTTCCAAGGCCTCTGAACGGGGTTTCCGTCAAGGTCTTGTAAACGGTATACACCGTTTCGGATTTTTTCAGTGATTTGATAAGGACCTTCCCAGATAATACCGAGTTTTCCAGCGCCTTCTTCTTTTGTGTTATCGAATACTCGCCTTAAAACGAAGTCTCCTACATTTAAAGGTCTGTTTTTCAACTTTGAGTTATAGTATCGAGCGGTCAACTGTTGATAATTCTGAAGTCGAATAAGGGATTGGTCTCGCCTTTCATCGATTGTATCGAGAACATCTTCTAATAATTTAGAATTCGACTCCTCGTTAAGTGGAGCTTCGCTCCGGCGCAAACCTGGAACATTCAGCTCGGCTGGGACTATGGCTTCCATCCCATAAATTAATGAGAATGGAGTTTCACCTGTTGCTCGCCTCGGGGTTGTTCGATAAGCCCACAACACAGGTTGCAGCTCGTCGTACCATCCACCTTTTCGAGCGTTCAAGCGTTTTTTAAGATTGCTGAGAATGGTTTTGTTGGAAGCTTCCGCTTGTCCATTTCCTTGAGGATACCTTGGTGTTGAGTAGCTAAGTTTTATTCCCCAAGCGGAACAAAAATCTTCAAAGTCATTTGAAATGAATTGAGGACCATTGTCCGTTACTATTTCGTAGGGAACTCCATAGCGACAAATGATGTGTTTCCACAAAAATATCTTTACTACGGAATCATGTATGCTTATATAAGCTTCAGATTCAATCCATTTGGAAAAATAGTCCGTTAGAACTAATAAGTACTGGACGCCTCGTGTTGAACGATGCATCGGACCGACTATATCCATTGACGACCTCATGAAGGGGTATGGAGCGGATATAGATGATAGAATTTCAGATGGCTGGTGAATAAGGGGAGCGTGCATCTGACATTTTTTACACCGTTTGGCGTAATCGATGCAGTCTGAAATCATAGTTGGCCAAAAATATCCTAACCGCTTGATTTTGAAAGCCATTGCTCGCCCCGAAGAATGACTACCACAAAGCCCTTCGTGGACCTCGCTTGTCACTATTTCAACTTCGGGTCCGAAAATACATAAAAGATAAGGATCACTGACGCCTCGCTTGTACAATGACTCTTTAATTATACAATACTTAGCGCTGATGATTTTTAATTTGCGAGCTTGCCATTTGTTAGATGGTAGTTCTCCATTAAGAATGAAATTTTTGATGGGTACCCTCCAGTCAGCCCCCCCAATCATTAGCGGAAGTATTATCCTTGAGTATAAACTTCCTTGGTTCGGGTTCGGAAGGAATATCAGGATCTTCGATTGTCTCATGAACCTCTACATCAGCTGGAAATGACTGTTCGGTTCGAGACGGTTCTTTAATGAGAACCTCTTGATCCTTTGATTTTCTTCTTGGCTTTCTTTTAGGAAGTTCCAGTGGTGGAATAAGTTCGTCATCTTGAGACTTTATTCGTGATCTGGTGACGACAAGCGAACTACTTTCATTTCCGGAACTTGGTTTTGGAGTTTCGAAGTGTTCGGCCTCCAAACTGTTATCGTTTTCTGTTTCTTCAACCGAAATACTTCGCGAATAAATACATTCAACTGGAATTACTCGTCTGAGTTCAGGATCTGAGGTAGAAGCTAGGGCAGCCAAGGCGTCTGCTGAAGTGTTTTCTCCTCTAGGAATTCGAACTAATTTGAATTCTTTGAATATCCCGGCTAATTTTTTGACAGCCGAAAGATAAGCTTCCATTCGAGGAGCCTTAGCTTCGTAATCTCCAGCGAACTGGTTTACAACTAGCTGAGAATCGCAATAAGCTATTATTTTTTCTGCTCCAATTGCGAGAGCAAGCCGAAGTCCTGCTAAGAGAGCTTCGTATTCTGCTTCGTTGTTCGAAGCTGGAAACATTAATCGAAATGATTGCTCGATTATTTCCTTTGTCGGAGTTTCGAGCCTAATACCGATTCCGGATCCTTGTTTAGAAGAAGATCCATCTACATGTAATTTCCATGTGGAGTCCGTTTCAACAAAGATTCCATCATCAGGTGGCAGTTCGGTTAGAAAATCAGCTAGAACTTGTGCTTTTGCGCTAGTTCTGCTTTTGTATTCTATATCGTACTCACTAAGTTCGATTGCCCATTTTGCCAATCTTCCGGACTGACTTGGACCGTGAAGAATTGATTGAAGTGGATGAGAAGTTAAAACTTCTATTGGATGAGATTGGAAATAAGGTCGGAGTTTTCTAGCAGATATCACTACTGCTAAAGCTAATTTTTCCATCATGGTATATCTCGTTTCTGGGCTAGTAAGAGATTTACTTATGTAAAAAATTGGCTTTTGTTCACCTCGGTCCTCTCGAACTAACACCCCACTCACGGAATGGTTAGAGACTGAAATGTAAAGATATAGTTTTTCATCTGATTCAGGTTTTGAGAGAATCGGTGGTGTCGTTAGATAAGTTTTGAGTTGACCAAATGCTGCTTCGCATTGATCATCCCACCGAAATTTTTTGTTCCCTTTCAAAATTTGATAAAAGGGGAGACATTTATCCGTAGATTTTGATATGAAACGATTTAATGCAGCAATTCTGCCTGTCAATCGTTGGACTTCCTTAATCTTTCTTGGCGAAGGCATAGTGAGGAAAGCGTTAAT